GGTGTTGGCCTGTTTTTCTTGATCTTGGGAGGGGTCCTCTCTGCCTCTAGAACGCAAATGTTTCTTTCATTCCCTGGATTAGGGAAGTTCTCAGCTACAATTTGCTCAAATACATCTTCTAGTCCTCTCTCTCTCTCCACCCGCTCTGGGATTCCAATTATTCTGACATTGGAATGCTTCCTGGTGTCACTTATTTCTCTGATTCTATTTTCATGGATTCTGAGCTGTTTTTCCCTGGCCTCCTCTTTTCCCTTTTTATCTACTATATTGTCTTCCAGGTTGCTTATTCATTCTTCTGCCTCAGTTACCCTAGCTGTTAGATTATCTAGATTGGATTGGATCTCGTTGATAGCATTTTTAAGTTCTGCCAATTCAGCTTTCATTTCTGCCCTTAGAGACTCTATGTTGCCATTAATTGATTTCTCCATTCTAGCTATTGTCTTCACAATTGCTAGCCTGAATTCCGTCTCCGACATCTTGGTTATATCTTCATCCATTTTTAAATCTGCCGCATAAGTCATAATCTATGAGTCTTTTCTATTTTTGGTGTTCCTCCTCCTAGTCATTCTGTTGATGGGTGTTTGAGGGAATGTATAGAGTCCAAATTATCGACCAGAACCCAAGCAAGATGTACCTGTTTTCTTGGGACCTTAGGGTTGCTGGCCTCTTGTTTTCCCAGCCTGTCTTCTGGGGGAGGGGCCTGCTGCACTGTTACTCAGGCAACCCTGTTTGGGCATAGTTGCCCTGCCCCCCAGTGGTGGGGGATGGGCTCAGTGGGAATCAGTTTTGGGGGCTTTTGTTCTCTAGCAGCTTTCCCTGGTGGCTTTCCGTGTCTCTTCCGTGCGTCAGAGCAGAAGAGACCATTTCCAACCCTCTGCCTCAGAGCAGAGAGATCACAGTCTGTTCTTCAGTGAGCTCTCCAGGCCACACTGTCTCCATTTCTGTCCATGCTGCTATAAACTGCGCCCTTCAGCAGCGATCCCAGTCCTGCCTCCAGGTTGGGGCATGTCTCTGCCCTTTGTGCTTCTAAAACCTCCAGTGGCTCCCAGTTTGTGCGGGTGACCCCGCTGCTCTGGGTTTCTGTCCCAAGGGCTGCCCTAAAGTCCTTTCCCCGCTGTTACCAGTCTGCAAGTCTGTGCCCTGTCCCCAGTGAGCGAGGCTGTCACTCACCAGTGATGTAGGATCCCCAAGGCCAGGCTCCCTCCCACTGCTGTTTATCCTCCAATATCTGCTCACAGAATCACGGCTCCCTGCTTTGTACCTCGAAACCAACCCTGCCTGTGATATTCTGTTTGTAGAGATCCAGATCCTCTTACATCCCAGGCTGGTTTCGTGTGTGCTCAGAGTGGTCTGTTAGATATCCAGCTCAATTCCGGGGACCAGTTGAAATAGGGTCCCCTACTCCTCTGCCATCTTTCCTCTCCCTGAGAAATCCCATTTTCAATGTGTTTGTCATCTGCTTTTAAAATAAATTTCCATCATATTTCAAGATTTCTCTTTACAATCTGAGCTTCTCCCAGTTTATATTCACCCTACTCTGAGTCCCTCTGGAACTGGAATGGAAACTCCATGGGTCATAAGTTTTGTTCTTTTGTTCCCTCTATTTCCAGAGCCTAGAACCGTGCCTTGTTGTATATGCTCAATAAACATTCGATGAATGTTCTGAGTGTATGACTTTCAAGTGGACAGCATTTTAATGAGTAGAAAAAAACACCATGAAAGAGAAAGCTTAAAAACGAAAGTGTCATTTTATCAGAAAAGAGTGACACTATGTTGGGCACCAAAAATGCTTGGAATTTGCCTTTGAGTTGAAATGTGGCTGAAATTCATTATAAGCTGACTTTAATTAAGTGCCCTTCAACTCCAAGGTCAATGGTGGGAAAGGTGAGCTGCTTCAGTATTTACTCACGATACCCTCTCCTCTTCAGTTCACTCCTGTATTGTCACAAGGCAGGGGGGTTGATGAGGAAACACCCTAGTGGGAAAATTGTTAACTAAGTTAATCTATTTTAAAAATTCAGAATTCACACAAATGGGGACTCAGGACATAGATCTATGAGTGATGTTTAATATTCGAGTGATGGTGGGAAAATGACATTTCTGAACTAAACAGAGATGCTTCTTTAATCCTCTACAAACTGAGTAGGAACATGTGAGACATTGTTTGCCTTTACGTAAGACAAAGCCTCACGGGAGGCCACAATCTCTCTTCCACACTACTTCAAAATAACTACTTAACTAATTAAGAAAGACAATCAGAATGAGGTTTCCAAATGCAGCATTGATAAAAGAAAGGATGTCAACATTTTGTCTGTGGGTTTGCTTTATTTGAACAGTTCCATCTCAGACAACAAACCGTGCCCATTTATGGAGAACCACTCTGCATAGAGAACTTTGAGTGAAAAAAATTAGAATATTTAGTCCCTAAAGTTACAATCCTTAGAAATAAGTTCCTTGACCTGATGCTACATTGAATGAGTAAAACATTACTTCCTGTTTTTCTTGATAACATTAGTGGAGCGTTTATTTTCTCAGAAAAACAGCTATGAGCAAAGGCAGGAATTCCCTCCGAGAACTGAAAATTAGTGAGGATAGTGGGAGGGATGGGGTGGCGGGGTGATGGACAATGGGGAGGTTACGTACTACGGTAAGTGCTGTGAATTGTGTAAGACTGATGAATCACAGACCTGTACCCCTGAAACAAATAATACATTATATGTTAATAGAAAAATTAAAAAAGAAAAAAAATAAATAAAAAGTAAAAACAGAAAAAAAAAAAGAAAAGAAAATTAGTGAGGATAAATAAATATCAAGTCAGGGCCTGATTTACAAAATCAAGTTAGTAATCAAGTTCATGACACACCCCTTGTCCTTTCACCTAATAAGGATTTGTGAGACACATATTCACATAGACTACTATGTTGTTTCTTCAAAATGGTGGATTGTATAAAAATCTACTTTATTAAGAGACCATCCGAAAATGCACCAAGTAATGCTCTGGAGATAAAGTTGGAAACCAGCCGTCTTTCATTTTTTCCAGGAATTTGAGGATCCACTTTACCTGAGAATGTTCTTGTTCTCCGCCCCCATGGCAGGGAGTCTTTAGGATTGTGTATGACAAGAAGGAGGGGTCCAATGTGGAGTGCTCTTTCACTCCACTCTTTGCACTGGGCAGGCTGGGTGGTAAGGTGGAAGGAGAATTTATCAAATAGTGAACTACTCATTACCTCGCCAACAAAGGTATGACAAGTATAGGATAGTATCTATAGATAGTATCTAGATTCAGATGGCATGGAATGGTAGGAAGAGAAATATATTACGGGTTGGAGAGAGAAACTGATGCGGAAGAGGGCAGTATCAATTATGTCTCCTTCTCATTTTTTCCAGTATCCAATGCCATTGGCTGGCGATGCAGAAATGGGGAAACTGTTCTAATTACCATGTGCACGGGCCACATGGTAAAGGATTTTTTATTTCAGCCTGCTAGATTTTGACAATGAGAATTCCATATTTTAAAAAAAAATCCAGATCATAACTCCAAGGCAATTGAACCTGAGAGAGACACTATTGAGAAGTTTCCAGGACTATGCTCAGACATCACTACCTGAGGACTCTCTCATGGGCCAGCCACTCTGAGTCCTGACTTGCTCATTAAAAAGGGATGATAATAGCCATTGGCTCTTCTGACAGGGTTACTGAGAAAGAAGTATAATCATATGTGGAAATACTTTGTGACAATAAAACATTACAAAATGCACTGTGGCAGTGATTGGCAGGATCCTAAACCAGCTTCCAAGATTTCTGCCCTAATCCTCATTATCATGAATAAGATGAGAAAATTATGACCTCATTATGTACACGGCAAAAGGGATTCTTTAGTTAATACTGTGTTAATCAAAAAGGAGACTATCTGGTGAACCTAATCTCAGTGCATAAATCCTTTAAAAACCATTTTCTCTGGTTGGTGGCAGAAGTAAGAGAGATTGACTGCATGAGAACATAGAGGGGTCCATACGACAAGGAATGCTGGAACTTTCTAGAAGGGGCACAGCAAAGAAATGGGTCATCAATCCTACAACCACAAGGCACTGAATTAGGACAACAACCTGAACAAACTTGGAAGCTTGTTTTTCCCCACAGTTTTCAGACAAGTGCCCAGCCAGGCTGCCATCTTGATTTCTGCCTTGCAAGTCCCTAACCAGAGAGCAAAGTAGAGTTCACCCAGCTTCTGGCAACAGAGCTAGGGGGTGTTGTTTTAACTTAGCAAATTCATGGCAGTTTGTTACACAGCAATAGGAATCTCATATGGCCACATTATTATTAATTTGAACACCTTTAGAAGGAGCATGCTTTTAAATTATGGGAAATTGAGCTTGAAGACATTGGCAGATGGATTTGTGCTTTAATCTTAATAATTAACATTCTATAACAGTTAGTGGACAGTTTTGGAGTTAGAGTGATAGTTGCTATTAATTTAGAGGTTGGCAAGGGATCTATTCCCTGACTTTATATTTCTGGTAGGTGGAGAGTGATAAGGAGGAAGTCCATCTAATGCAAACCTGTTCAGTAGAGGATTACTTGCATCTTGTTGACACCATGTCACAGTCTGTTTTAAATATCAGTATGGCCTCACTTTAGTTTCTTATATCTATCAAGCCTTTCCCTTCTACCTCTTATTTAAATGAGTGGTATGAGGAGGTTGGTTCCAGAGCAAGGAAATATCAAAACAAAAACAAAGAAACAAAACACCAGACTCTGAGAAAGTTCCCATCTCCGCACTTCACTTTCTCATTGTCACCAATGAGCTGAGACCAACTGAGGGTCAAAGAAACAGTTACCATGATTATATTGATGCAGATGGAAGGTTTCAAAGTTCTAGTCAAAATTTTAAGGTAAAAAGAACAAATAGTTCACATTTGAATGAGTTGACTGGGAATTTACCAAGTTTCCAGCAGTAATAAAAGCACAATTTAATCACATCCAAACACAGGACAGGGTACCTTTTCGATTCTGTTTTCTTGAGATTTCTTAAAGTAGATGGTGGGGATCCCAAGTTCCGAGGCAGCTATCCACTGCAGAGTGGCTCGAAGTTCAGCGTCAGGACACTCTGGCTCCAGATCAAAGTTGATCACTAGCATGCTTCCCTGGGGGCTGGCTGCTCCCATTGCCACTCCAGAGACACCTGAACACAGACCACAAGCCCAGGTTTACTATGCGTTCCAGGGGGAATCACAGGCAAATTGTATGTCAAAATTATGGGAATGTGGCTTACCCTCTACATTTTCTGACTGTCCTTTAAGAATCTCCTTTTCTTCTACTAATTCACTTTGGGAGAAAACAACAGTATATGGTTGGTAATATTTAGACATTAGCTGTAAATAGACGATGAGGCAATGGATCTTATTGATCTAAAAGCTTCTGAAGTTCAATCTAGATTTATCATTTTCATAGAGGGAAGTAACACTGGAGAAATATCAGTGTGGCTCTTACATAGGATTATTGGGTCTGCCATAAATAGCCCTGGCCCTTAAAAAGGCAAGATAAATTACATAGTTTTAGTTGGGATAATAAGTGTGGGAGAGTAAGAAATTCATCTTTCTCTTCTCCTCAACTTCCATCACTGGTTTGAACAATCAAGGAAATATCTTGTAGGCAACTAGATCTGATTTGGGGACTTATCCTTCTTCTGTATTTGACTTGTCATTTAAAAGACCAAATATTTCCATCCTAACACAGTGATTTTTTCCCCTATACTATGATAGCAACAAATTTACATTTTAGTCTAGGAAAATATTTTTCTAATGTTTGTGGTTCTTTGATCTGAAATAAGGGTAAAAAACAACCAATGAACAGCAGAACATAAATTGTACAACAAAAGATCTCAATTAAAATTGAAATTTTTCTTTTTCTATCAGGAGGATGGAGTAGGCTGGAGGAGATAAAAAACTAGAGACATAACTGAATTATTTCATTAGTTAAAACCATGTTTAATGTTTGAGGTGTTTTCATACAGTAAGTACTTGTTAGGGAGTCTTAATGTAATGGCAGGACTCAGTAAATGCTTCCAAAATGAGAGCATATGTCCCCACAGCTGAAAGGAGGTGACCATCTTGGGAAGCCTGTGGTTGTCCTATATTTTTGTATGGGCTAGAAATTCAAGACACAGGATCTCTTAAAATGTGTATTTTTATAAGAGTATTCTCCCTTATATTTTCTCTTACTGCTAAGATTTACTGGCTGTAAATTTCACTGTATTCCTCTTAATGTTGAGAGAGAGAGAGTATAGTTGCTCTGCCACGCATATGGAATTATTTCTAGAAGAATGACCAATTTCCCAAGGGTCTAGAGCCTCTGCTAGGTCTCTGCAAGAGATATAAGTGAAATGAAAGATGGTAGGGGCAGTTTCTGCTATTGTGCAGCTGCAGGATGCTGATAGGGGGTGGTCATTTTAGTTTTCCCTGAATGCATAGATGTGTTTGGGGTCCTAGGCTCTAACCCTGGAGAAAGATGGAAAAAGGTAGCTAAACAAATGTTTCCTGAAGGAGAAAAATTTACCCCAAAGTAATTTTTTGTTTGTATTTTGGTTCTACTTTTAAAAAACAAAACAAAACAAACCCAAGATCACATGTATGTTTATCTCTACTTGTGAATAGTGGCGGTAAGGAACAACAAAGGATTGATTCCTTCAATCACTGAGGAATACTCCCGCAGGCAGGATACCTGATTACATAGTGAAACAAAAATGACTTAGCTATAGAGAGTAACTGAGGAAGTAGATAAGGGAGCAGCATTAGTCTTATATTTCATTTTTATCTTTCTGAGATTTAAGAAAACTCCAAACAGTAATAAGCTAAGTAGTAGTAGTCAAAGATAGATTTCAATTCATTTACTTTTCCAGAATAATCACAAATTCTGGATATAGCCCTGACCTCATGTTGTCCTCCTTTTCCACACTGTATTTTGTGTTACACGTGTCGTGCTCCTTAAGTGCTATTTCTCCTTGGTCTTTGGAAGATCTCGAGGTCTTGGGAAGCAGAGTCACTGTGTGGCAATGACATATCTACATTGTGGCCCCCTTTGGTATTAGACACATTTAGTAGTGATTATCCCAGGTGTCTACAAGTAAAGGAAAAATCATTCACATTATATTCTATTGAACAATAGTCTTTGTTGGTTGGCATGGTATGATTTAAAAAGATTTTTGCTTTTCTGTGTCCAATTAAGTAAAATGACATGTTATTTCTGATTTTATGGATAAACTTCTTCCGGGATGATTTTATCAGAGGAGGCAGATTTGAAATCCAGAAAACAGTGGTGCTAAGGTAGGACTAGTCTCAGCCCCAGTTCTTGCTCCAGTGACATGGAACCACGGCAGCCTAGACATGATGATTCAGCGGTTGGGCACAGTCTGAATGATCAAAATGGATTGCCAGATGGAATTAGAGTAGTGGTCTCACAACCACTGCATCTCAGTGGCTACTTACTTAATCATGGGAGAAGTTGATATGCCTTCCTGATAAATGTCCAGGTCCATAGTGCCAAGACTGCTAGTGGCACTACTGTTGCCATTGCTGACAAAGCAAAAGTTTACATATTAATGCCTGTCTCCACCACCTGGCCACATGGCCAACACTGACGTTCCATCTTTCTTCCTAAGAGGTCCTTCTTTGGGTGCCCAGAAGAATATTGTTGGGGGTCTCCTAAATTAATATTTATTTCTGGACAAATTAGGGGAAGACACAACAAAAGACACTTTTGGCTCCAGCCAATCATCATCATTATCTTCTTCTTCATCATCATCATCATCATCATCATCATCACTGTTTTTGAATTTCTGCACTGGAGTTATAGCTAGTGGGCCACACCTAGTGGGTGACTATCAGCATGGCTTTTGTATTCCTCATTCTAGTTACAGTGAGGATGTTTATCTTTCAGCAAGAGACCCTTTGGTATACCCACGGAGACTGGGATACTTCTGAGAATGCTGGCTGGGGAGATATCAGAAGGCTCATTTGCCTGCTTCTTGACTTCTGACAGAAACCAGTAGACACATGTTCTCCTGTTGCCATTCAAGGGATTTTTCTGAGGGACATTCCACAGAATATGCACCTGGCTGATTATTTTCCTGTGGGACTGCAGAATTTACAAATATGAAGTTGGGCGCTTGGGTGGCTCAGTGGGTTAAGCGACTGCCTTCAGCTCAAGTCATGATCCCAGAGTTCTGGGATCAAGTCCCACATCAGGCTCCCAGCCTGCTTCTCCCTCTGACCCTCTCCCCTCTCATGCTGTTTTTCTCTCTCTCTCAAATAAATAAATACAAATATGAAGTTGGGCAATGCCAAAGTTTTATTAGCTTCTTTATTGTAAAATCTTTGAGAAGCAGCACCTGATACCTTGTGTATAATGGAGAAGAAGGGCTGCTGAATCATTTACATAGGCTACACAATCAACATATGGTCTAGTTACTAGCTTGGAACTTAGTTGCTGAAACATAGTAGGCTTGAGCCAATTTTTAGGCTCTGTCGGTACTTGCAGAATGGAATGCATCCAATTTCAGCAAACCAATTAAGTTTTCTCATACTCCCACTATTTCCCAGTGACATCTCTTCCAAGTCAGGTTTCCAAAGGATGAGTGCTGGTGTGTCCTGTGACGGGACAGTCTTCCCTGGGGAGTACCATGAGTAACAAACTGTACTCCTTCAATTTCAAATTCCTGCTTTGGGTTTCATGTGGGGCATTGAATATATTCACTGATTGAAATCTGATGCCTCAAACATCGCACTGAAGGCAATTAACATATAAACTGCTGCTAAGTCTAGAGATTTATATTCTGTCTTTTTTAAAAATCTCCATATTGTAATAATTCCCACTGGTTTGGGGGGATTTTAGACCAAGTGTTTAACACTGAAATTTTCCTAAGTCTAAACAGACCGAACTGCCAGAAATAAGACTGCTAAGGAGCCATTACCCCCAGATGCATCTGAATCCCATTTTCCCACTGGTCTTTCTGGAAAGTCTGCAGACTTTTTCCAGTATCATATCAAATAAGACTTGGGGCAGAAATGTGGGGATTCTTTTCATTTCCACCTCACAGAGGGATAGTGTTTAGTTTATGTCTCTTGATGCACTTGGGTCCTTCCAAATCTGATCTTTCTCTAACTCGTCTCTTGCTTTCTCTGAGCAACATTACACAGGGCAGGGGAGAGAAAGGAGAGAAACAATTAGGCCAAACAACACAACACAATGTGGAAACACTTGCCTCATGTAAACCCAGCCTGGGTTGCATCTGAAATACAAATGAACCAGAGAGAAAGTATCAAACACACCAGGTGTAACAGCAGGTCTTATTTAAAATTTCCCAGTTGTTATTGAATGCACTAGCTGGGGCTTACAGAGAAAGGAATACAACTGACTGTTAAGCTTGGCCAAGGTAATTAAAGGCACAACTGGATATTAAGAAACCTCTCACACAAATCACGACAGGCAGGCACCTTGACCTAGCAGAGCTTTCCTTTTTGCTCTATTAGGGACTCTTTGTAGAGAACCATCTAGAAAGTATTTTTAGAATCTGTGTTGAAACCTGTTTCCCTGGGAAGTCAAGTAAAGAGCAGGTACCTCAGGGATCGCTCACTGAGCTGCAGAAAGCTACTCGTGTCATCCGGATTGTCCTCCTCATTGGCAAGCTGGGACCAGCTGTCCGTGCTCTCCCCGCTGCTGCCAGAAAGGTTGGGGAACTCATCGGGGGCTCTGCCTTCTGCCGTGACTTCAGCCCCTGCTACATCTCTGGCATCAAGACTGTCACTGTAGATGGGCAAGATACCATTACCAAGAGCGGAGACACAAGGCAGAACTTTTCATGGGGACCTGGCTGGCTTGAGCATGAATCTCTGCCGCAGTGAGCAGGATACTTGGAGATGGGTGGATTTTTTTCTTTCAGGCTATTCCTTCTCCTGGTGCCCTAGGGCCCATTTTGCCTTTTCAAGATTGCTGCCCATCAGTTTCCCCATCTCTTCATTTTATGTCTTTCTACTGACTCCCTCCATTCACTTCAAAAACACAGTGAAGCACCCTGGGCTGCATACATAAGCATAAATGTGGGGCCGTAGTGTTTCTAATGAAGAGACCCAGAGCCTCCTTCCAGAGATTATGAGTCATTGCTTCTGCAGGGAGACCAAGAAACCTGCATTTTGAACAACTACGCCAGGTAATTTTAATGCAAGTGGCACATGGACCATGCTGGGAAAAAAACGCCCACCCGGTTCTGCAGGTTTACCAAGTTGTATTGCCTGCAAATGCCCCTGAACACATTTTGCATTTGTAGCTAGCCAGTTACACCATCCTCTCCCTCTGAAACCTCTGATTTATATCAGCACCACCTTTCTGGATGAGTGCTTTTTTAGGTCAAGTTTCTCTCCAAAAGCATTTAACCCTGGATCCGACAGGCGTTTCTCCTTGCAGCCTTTGTTTTGCTCTCTGGTTCCCAGGACTTCCTGCCTCTGTGGTCACACCTTGCCGAGAGCCTGGTTTCCTGTGTTGCCTCTCAGGGCCGCCGTCGCCAGTTCCAGTCTGTCCCTCCGTTCCAGTCTGCCCCTAACAACTTCATCTACTCTCCTGCCTATGAAAATAGCTTCTAAATCTGAACTCAGCCTGGGCCCCTCTTCCTGCTTCTGGGGCTCTCTTTTCAGAGGGTCTTCTGAACATAGTCATCTGTCTCATTAACATTTTGAAATCAGGGCGCCTGGGTGGCTCAGATGGTTAAGCGTCTGCCTTCGGCTCAGGTCGTGGTCCCAGGGTCCTGGGATCGAGTCCCGCATCGGGCTCCCTGCTCCTTGGGAGCCTGCTTCTCCCTCTGCCTCTCTCTCTCTCTCTCTGTCTCTCATGAATAAGTAAATAAAATCTTTAAAAAAAAAAAAAAACATTTGAAATCAACACATCTTAAACAAATTCTGATTGCCCTCCTATCCTCTTCCTGTGTTTTTTATTTCCTTTGACCTTTCTGTCTCTTTGCTCATGAAATTATCTTAATTTAGGTCCTTCTAAATTGCTTGAATTTAGATTTGGAAGGAACCTCATAGATTTCCTGTAGATTAGAATGCAGAAGCTTGGTGAATTAAATGATTTGTCCAAGATTGCAATAAGAGTTGGTACCAGACTTTAGACCTCAAGTTTTGAGACTCATGGACATTGCTCCATTACTCTTGGCTGGACTATATTGTATTGGCCTCCTAACAGTTGAGCCCCAACTATTTCTCCTCTTTCAACTATATGGTCCAGAAATTCCATTTCTAGGAATTTATCTCCCAAAACCAAAACCACTAATTTGAAAGGACATACACGTGCCTATGTTTATTGCAGCACTATTTACAATAGTCAAGACACGGAAACAACCTAAATGTCCATCAATAGATGAATGGATAAAGAATATATAATAAATATATACAATGGAATATTAGTCGTTAAAAAGAACATAATCTTGCCCTTTGGAAAACATGATGGAACTAGGCGGTATTATGTTAAGTGAAATAAGTCAAACAGAGAAAGACAAATACCATATGATTTTACTTTTATGTGGAATGTAAAAACAGAACAAATGCTGGAGAATCATATTGTGAGGTTTGCAACACAGAAAGAAAACCTCAAAATTGTGAAGCTTGGAGCTCATATAGGAGTTGCTGCTGACACATTTGCCTCTCTTCTTCATCAGGGGGAGAGAGAAAGGAGAGAGACAGAGAGAGACAGACTGACAGAAAGGAGCGGGGGGAGAGAAAGGAAGGGGGAGAGAGAGAGAGAGAGAGATCACTTATAAACAAATCCAAATGTTCTCTGCAGAGAGGAGGAAACGGTCTCTACTTTACCACCCTGGATGGTAAACAAATAGCTCCAGAAATGTAAATCTCTGTATCTCTCTAAAAGTCTCTATCTTTAGGGTTAGTATTCAATCGTTCTTTGATCCAGGTGTCAATACTCTTTGTTCAGAAAACCAAATGTACAGAAATATGAACATATTCATGCAACCTTTCTCCTGACACTACTGACCGTCATCAAAAATTAATAGTATAGGAGAGAAGGACATTGATAACTGCAAGCAAAAAGCAAGAGTGTATTTCTCAGGTGACAACAAAAAAATGCAATAACCTGGTGTAGTGGATACAGAATGCTTTTCTGGGCTGTTGCACACTGACTGCAGAGAATATTGGCTGCTGCCAGTGTGCGCTGGGAATTACCAGCAGGCAGAGAACTGCCTGGCCAAGGTTGTACCCTCTCTCAGTGAGCATCCCACCAACCAGCTGATACAAAGACACAAAAGGCCAGTTCTTGTCTCACTTGACACCAAACCTGACAGACCATTACCTCTTCAGGGGTTCCTGTAGGATGTGCTGAAGCCCCAGTTGTAAACATATTTGGGGGCACCTTCTCTCCATATAATCTTGCCTTTCCTACCTCCTTACAGATGTATGCACACATATCTCTGGAGAGCACTTTCTCCTACCAGATTATTGTCCTGAAAATCTCCCTCTTAAAGTCTGTTCCCAGGGGATGCAACCCAAGACACTCAGTGTCCTTCATTCTAAAAACAGTATATTGGCTGCAGAAAAGTCTATGTAATTCTCTTCAATCTTAGGATTAGTACCATTATCGTTTCTCCAAAAATGGTTATACTTGAAAAATTTTTAAACGAGTTCTAATATAGAGAGTAGAGTTTCAAATGTATAAATTTTGGAGTTCGATGAAAAATTTCCTTTTTGATAGGTGAACTGGTTATCTAGAAAAGTTCACAAAAGCTTTGGATACTTGCTTCTAAGACTCCTTCCCACGGCATTCTGGATAGATACAGTATTAAAGTGTGGCTGTTTCTAGCATGCTGTGCTACTAACACTTGATGAAAAAAAGTCCCTAATAAGCTTGATTTGCCTTTCTAAAATGTTGAGATTTTTCCAAATTGAGCAGGGAGAAAGTGAGAGAATGACTGCCACCAAAAAGACATTGGGTGAATTTAGTTAAATTCAAATGAAAGAAAAGTTTATTGAAGATAAATGGAAACAATACAAATACTCCCAAAAAGGGGGTAAATAAGCCAAGTACTGAGCACAAAGGAGAGGCTTCTAAAACCATCTGTTTTCTTAGGTAAAAAGAAATTTCCTGGACTAATTCTTTACTAAATTAGGACCTTACATTACTAGAAAAAAACTCATTCCAGGATATTTCTCACTAAAGCAGAAGTTAAATCTCAGTGATTGACATTGAATGTTCAGGCTAAAAATGAGTCTGTCAGCATATTTTATTTTATCTAATTTCATGCTCTATTTACAGTAAATCTCATATTCTATGTCACATAACTGGGAATTCAAAATGAATAATGATTATCTAAAACACTGGTTTTCATTTTCTTTTGAGAGAAATGGGGGTATAGCTTTGCTCATTTATTTATGAATAATACACAGATGTGTTATGCAGATGTATGTAGATGGCCTTTTTCCACTTCTGATTTCATAGTTCACATACAGAGCTTCAGAGGACCATTTTTTATATGATATCAAATTCAATTGTAGAATTTCTGAGTTAGCAGGGACCTCAGAAATCATCTAACCTAATGTTCCCACAGCTTAATTTACTAGCAAACCACTGTCATGATTTTTGCCATACCTGCATTCCCCCTATATTATATCAATAATAAAAATTGTAAAAATCAGTTTAAGTAAACTAAATGTGTATTTTAAAAAGAAATATTGAATCATCACTGTAAATGGAAAATAGAAATCACTCGCCATAGGTAGAAGGTAACAATAAAAATATAGAACTACAGTAAAAGCCCTCTTTCCAATGGGTCATCCAGTTGTTTAGTTATAAAAAGTTCATTGAAGGGGGAAATCATAACAAACATACACGTTTCTTAAATTTAAATTTTAGTTAGTTAACTTACAGTGCAATATTGGTTTTTGGAGTAGAATTCAGCAATACATCACTTACATACAACACCGACGCTCATCACAACAAGTGCCCTATCTCATACGCATCACCCATCTAGCCCCTCCCCCACCCACCTCCCTCCATCAACCCACACTTTGTTCTCTGTCTTTAAGACAGAGAACAGTGAAATTATATGGTATTTGTCTTTCTCTGACTGACTTATTTCACTTAGCCTAATACCATCTAGTTCCATCCATGTCATTGCAAATGGCAAGATTTCATTCATTCTGAATGAATGAACATACAGTGATATTCCACTGTATGTATATATATGCCACATTTTCTTTATCCATTAATCAGTTGATGGATATTTGGACTCTCTCCATAGTTTGGCTATTGTTGATAATGCTGCTATAAACATCAGGGTGCATGTACCCTTTGAATCTGTATTTTTCCTTTGGGTAAATACCTAGTGGTGCAACTGCTGGATTGTAGGCTAGTTCTATTTTTAATGTTTTGAAGAACCCCCATACAGTCTCCAGAGTGGCTGCACCAGTTTGCATTCCCACCAACAGTGCTAGAGGGTTCCCTTTTCTCTGCATTCTCTCCAACACCTGTTGTTTCTTGTTTTGTTCATTTTAGCCATTCTGACAGGAGTGAGGTGGTATCTCATCATGGTTTTGATTTGTATTTCCCTGAGGATGAGTGATGTTGAGCATCGTTTCATGTGTGTTAGCCATCTAGATATCTTCTTTGGAAAGTGTCTGTCTTCTGCCCATTTCTTAACTGGATTATTTGTTTCTTGGGTGCTGAGTTTGTTAAGTTCTTTATAGATTTTGGATACTAACCCTTTATCAGGAATGTTGTTTGCAAATAGCTTCTCCCTTTCCATA